AATCATTAAAATAAATTAATACCTTTATACATATATAAATATTAAATAATTACATAAATAAGGAATAATAAAAAAAGTTTTACAATTTTTAAAAAAAATGTAAATTAAAGTTAAGTTATAAACCTAATAAAATTTTGATTAACAATTCAATGTTTCAATATTGTCCCCATACAATATAGTTTTTAATAATCTAAATATTGATAACGATATTTACTGGTTAATATTTTTTAAACAACACCCACAGAAACTATATAAGTTGTTTACTATTTTATTAGGAAGAACACAATCAAATAATAAAATAGCTGCTTACAAAAAAAATGAAGTATTCTTATCATTTTATTTACTATGAGTTATCAAGAAACATTTCATTATTTTTCATCGATGGTAATTATAGCATCAACGATTTATTAAGGAAATATTGTTTGATGTACAGTGAGACGTATTTAATTGATGTTTTTGAATTGGTTTTAGAACAAGTTATTGCTAGTGTTACATTTGTTCCTTGTTACAAACGTACTCAGTCTCCCCTATATATATATATATATATATATTAATATGTCTTTTTTATGACATTTAGAATACAAAACTAAGTAGATACGTACAGAAAATTTATTGAATATTAATCAAATATTTATAAAAAAAAATTTTCTCATAAACCATAATAATTACAATTTTTTTCTAAAAATATATATTAAACTAAGTACTTATAAACAATTAGTATAAAATTAGTTAAATATTCACAATATCGTAGTTTAGTTATTACTGGGTTAAATAAAAAAAAATTCGTTAATAGTGATTTAGTCACCGGATTTAATGTTTATTATAAATGTAAAATTTTAGTGGTTCAATAAATACCGTATACTTTTTTAAAAAGAAGATTCATTGTGGCTCAATTCCTGAGCGCCTGCTCAAACATGTTTTAAATTTACAGGTAAAAATATTACAACCATGTACCTAAACGTATTACGGCTAGAAAATCACAGTTTGAGTGGTAATTCGTTGTCACATAGTATGGATTCTGAAATGATGCGTGTAATGTGACGGAAACTGGCATTATTTTATCATATGAAAACTATGAATATTTGTGAGTATAACTATTGATAAGACGGGTGGTCCGCATTCATTTTTGATCCTTAAAAATAAAAAAAATAAATATATTAACAAAAGGTATAATAATACCCAAAAATCAAGAAATCAAGTAATGCATATGACAAAAAACAAATGTATAGTAAGAAAACTATCATGCTAGATATACATTTCCTTACGTCTTTCACAGTTTGGGACTTATGTTAGTATAATGCATCTTTCTAGGTAGATACCTATGAATTTATTGTATGTTTGATTTAGATTTCAATACATTCCAAAAAGAATATTAATAAGATTAATGAACTAACTCAATAACTCAATATTTGCAAAAATGCCTTGCATTACTTGACTTCTGTGGTACATAATATACCTATAATAATATAGTTATATAATATGCATAGTACATTTTTTTTCAGATAAACGTATGGAAAGAATGTAACTGAATAACAATATCGAACTATAAAGATTTTCAAATTTCAATATGTTTCCAATCTATACAAAGATAAAGTATTAAATATAAACATTATTTAAAAAATTAAAAATGAGCATTAATAAATTACCTCAGTATTTGAAACGTTAGTCAAAAAAATTACCTCTTATGTATAAGTTTTACTATTGAGTACTTCGATACCAAAATCTGTTTGAGATAAATTAACATATTATCTATCAATATCAATTTTCTCTATAGTATATTATCTATTCGGTTTCACATAAATACATTCAGGAAATGAATAGATCCCAGGGGTTGAATGATCCACCGGGAATTCAGGAGTTTTCCCCATGTACTTGACTGATTCGTAGGCTAATCATTTTTAATCTTTTTCCTAATTATTGTTTAATTTAAAAAACAAATTGTGATTTATAAATTGTTTTCGATAGAAAAAAATATAGGAAAATAAACAATAGAGACGGTTATGTAGATTAGGTATGGCAGATTAGTTAAAATGTTATTATCTATGTTCATAGTTTCATTGGATCAGTGGTATTATTTTGTATAATAACTATCACAATTAACGTAAAGTATATATGTTTTCATGTATATTATTATGTTCGCATCGCCTATCAAGCACAGCGTTTATAACATCATGCAGTCTTAGGTGAAAATCGGGGCGGGGGGGACCTTGGGAATCTTAGGCCCCCAAAAAGCCCACCATTCCTCTCAAAAAATCTTGCGAACATATACAAATTTTAATTTTCAAATAATTTATTCTTAAAAAATAAAAACATATAACATATAATATTTTTTATATTATAAATTTGTTAAAAATTAAAATTATAGAATATAATATTTCATATAAAAATTAAAATTATAAGTTCCAATATCCTAGTGATTTGTTTTATATTGTTTCTAGTTATCGCCCGTTGAATAATTGTTGTTATTGACTGTTGATTTAAGTTTTTTTTGTACCTATATATTATGTATGAGTGTAAATGGGAGGAGTGAATATTATCGTATATCTACGTAAGTAATTCCAACTATTTTATGTTATTTGGTAGACCAATTTAACCCTTTGAGGCACACATTTTTTTTTGAAAGTTGTTTTCTTAAAAAATATTAAAATGTATCCCTCGTATTACATATATAAAAAAAAAAGAAAAAAAAAAAAGGTGGTTTATCTATTATAATACCATAATGCCTTAAAGGGTGATTGCATTGTGAAAATTATATAAAATGTGTTGGTACCTATATTAAAAATATTTAATATTAATTATAAACCGATAAAACAAATAAAATTATTTGAATTATTTATGAGAGGGTGTGAGGGCGTAGTCCCCCACAGGCTTTGGCTAATGAAAACAATTTTAGTTCCCCCCCCAATTTTTTCAATGAATTTCCGCCTATGCATGTAGGTCGCCCCGTCGGTTTCGTTGCTCGAACGAGTGCATGGCTGCTTTCTACTTACTCTCTTCGACACTAACCGACGACGCATGTGCGTATTTTGTTATTGTTAATTTTTATTACTTATCGTTCTAATAGGTACCTATTTTCAATCTTCCTGTGAGATTTTTATGTACATTTTTCGTCAGTATGAGTGAATTTAACGTATCAAAAAGAAAAGGTGATAATATTTTTGAACAGATAATCATATTTTTTTTTTTTTTGCTTAATAAAACAATTTTTCGAAATAGTCTACCTAAGTTAAAACAATTGATTATAAAGTATGGAATATGAAGAATTTCAGGTAAGGTGCTATACTTGTGGAAAGGTCTAAATATAAAATTGGGGATGGACCTAATCTATGGGAAAGAGCGTCAAATATATTAACATATTGCCACTTTTACAAAAATATATATAAAATATTATATAAACCTATAATAAATTGATTATTTTATGATAGTAAAAAATGTTTGAGGTTGAAACTTAAAAATTATATGGATGTAATTCAAACATCATTTACAACAACCTCACGCTGGTGTATTTACTATTTTCCCGCACCGAAATATTTTTTCAATCTGCTTCTGATAGATCCTTTCGATAATATCAACGCATCATATATTATTATTACAGTACGTATTATTATCTAGGTATATAATATTAGGCATTATGTGTATATTTAACTTACTATTATCTATATAAAAACAAATTACCGGACATTTTTGGCATAAGCAGTTATCCACGTCTCCCGTATAACTCGTCCCATTCAAACACAATATAATCATAATATACTTGATGTGCTTGAACTTGGTTCGGATCGTCTATAAGAAGAGGCCTGTAAATGGTTAATAATAACATCTAACATGAGAACAGACGTTTAAAATATTTTAATATGCACCTATTTATTTAATGTATTAATGTATTATTAAATAAACAAAAACAGTTCTAATACTGGGGACGGGTGCGGCCACTGTTGTAGGTGGGTAGTGGGGAAGGTTGGATACATAAACTTGTTTAATTTTTACCTGTAACCAAGAATAAACCATTGATAAAAAAAAAACGATTCGGAGCGAAGTTCGGTTACACATATTTTTAAAAGCCGCAATATTTACGGTTTTCGTCAAAATTTGAAATCAACTTATAACAAAAAAGAAAACACATTACACTCAATTATATTTTTGAAACAAAATTAATTTGTTTTCCCCTGTTACCTATCGACGTTGTTTTGCAAAACAGTTTTTACAGATCTCTGGTTTTAACTTGTGATTACAAAATTTTGCTCAAACTGTTTTTGTCAAAATTTAAAATTAAAATTCCATTATAAAAAAAAAATAGATAATATTCGAATTTTTTTTTTTCTAGATCACAAAATACAATATTTAAGGAACTTCTTATTAAGTTTTCGAGTATTTCTGTTCAGTCTAACAATTGTATCCACAGAATACATATGCCTAATAAAAATTACGTACACAACTCGCAAAATTAAAATATTTATAATTAGCTTAAAAATGAATCAATATTTTGGAAATTTGACCACGTCTAGAAATAAGAAATATAAGTTTTCTGTCAAAATGTCAAGTCTTTATATTTGTATTAAACTAGATTACATTAAAAAAAAAACTGCATATAATAAAATAATTATTGTCTTTCATTTGTTCGTACTTTCTGAATTTTTTTTTGGTTTTCCACAATAATTAAAATATCTCCAAAGAAACTCAAAAAAAAAAATGTTCTTTTTCATCAACTAGATTAAAAATTCAATCTCTTGATATCTCGATGTTTTTTTATTGAATTAATATTTTTGATAGAAAACATTGTTTTAACATAATAAACGGTAACGCCATGCTACGCTGTAAATATTTGCCGTTTGACCAATAATTTTCTTTCGATTTTTCCAAACTATTTAGAAGACCCCTTGAAAATTTGAAAAATGACCTCTTCAATATACCAACATACTCGCTACGCTCTGAATCTAATATATATGTGACATTGAACATATAAAATGATAGTATTTTATAATTAATATAAATTTAAATGATTACATTGGCAGCTGCACTAAAGGCCCAAGTCCGAAACGCAAAAGATGCCGAAAACCCCGCAAGCGCACCAATTGGTTATCAATTATGAAGTAAAATACTGGGAAGTTTTCAACTGCAGCAGGTTCCGCAACCACATGATCCCTTACTACATGTTCTACCAACACAGGATCTGCAACCGCACGTTCTGCAACTGCATGTTCCGCAACCGCAGGTTCTGCAATCACAGGTTCTGCTTCATCCGGTTGAACCAAAGGCTCATCTGAAAACTCCTCCTTTTCATTTGAAAATTCCTCTGACGAATCTTCTGAACCAGGATTATCATTGACTTGACCGTCTTCGACAGGTTGTTGAATTTCTTGCTCGTTCAATGATATTCGTTCCATGTTGATATCAAATCTATCTTCTTCAGATAGTCGATCCATTTTTCTGATTTGACTGAAAATATAATTTATTGTAATGGCTAATCGAATTTCTGTATATAAATTATAAATGATGGTTTTTCAGATATATAACATTTTTGAATAGGTTTTGTAAAAATACAAATATATATTTTAGAATATGGAGACCCAACATAAAACTTTTAATTTTTTCTTAATACGCAGAAAAAAAAACCTTTGAAAAATTGTTTAAGTAATGAGAATTTATATTATTCTGACTATACAATCAAAATAACCAACATTGATTCGGTTTACAAATAATTTTGTAATTTGTTATACTTTTTACATTTCAACTATAATATATGCGATAACACTACCACCACAAATACTGAGTTCTATTCAATTATAATAGTTACTAAAATAGGCCTTTATTAAAGGTTTAAGTCAAATTAAATGTTGTCTTTACAATAATGATTAGTAATTAAAAGAAAAGAGCCGATACTGGGAACGGGTGCTTCACTGTTTTATGTAGGAAGTCAGAAAGGTAGGATACCTACATATGTTATTTATTTTACTCCTGTAAAGAACGATACATCATTGCAAATGAAAAATGATTTGGAATACGACAACTACGAACATCAAACACAATTTTTTTTTTACCACTATGTGCTACTTATTATAAAACTCTTGTTAAATTTCCAAAAATTTTTGTTTGATCTATCAATTTAATCTACCTATAGAATAAAAATTTCGATAAATAAATATCTATAAATAGCTGAAAAGTAGCACAAATATTTTGAAATTTGACCACGTTTAGAAAAAGCAAATATTAGTTTTCTGTCAAAATTTTAGGTCTCTATAAAAATTTTTATCTAAATTACAATAAAAAAAAATAAAAGCATTAACTTCGTAAATTGTCTAGTTCTTTCTGTTTTTTCCAGTTTTACTAGTTATTAGAAAAACTATTCGGAAAATTAAAAATGACTTTCCTAGTCACCAACTAGATTTAGTTGGTTGGAAAAGAGATCTCTTGTTTTTATAAAATAATTATATTTTTGGTAGAAAAGCCATACCTACAAATTTAAAATAAAAGAATCATAACAGCGTAAATTTATCAGTTTTTATTTTTCGTCTTTCTTTTCCCAGTTTTTTCCAATTAATATAAAAACTACTTATAAAATCATAAAACGACTTTCACCATACGTATTAAGTTCTAAAATTCAATAAAAAAGATGTCTTAACATTTTTGATGAAAGTGATATTTCTCGTATAAAATAGTTAGCATATCAGTAACGCCGTAAATATTTGCCATTTTACCTTAATTTTCTTTCTAGTTTTTCCCAATTGTTTTGAAAACTCCTCGGAAAATCAAAAAATGACCTGTCTAATGTACCAACTTATGAAAATTTCCTTCAGGAAAGAACCTACACTCTATAAATCAGAGCATGGTTTCTAGTAGAAAAGTTGTTTACAGACAGAAAAAATTAAAAAAGAAATACAAACAAAATATACATCATAGTAAAACCAATTCGCTATTCTGCGAATCTAAAATTAAAACTAGCCAATAGTTTTCTTTTAAATTAACACATATTTCTATGTAGATATATTTGGACTTGTATTTACTTCCCCATATACTTCAATAGCGTAATAATAATAATATTTAAATAACTATACTGCTATATATACAACTATAGAGTTGTAATAGAATAAAATACATTTCAACGTACTAATATAATTTGTGTAGACACACACAATTAAGTATATAAAAAGTCAGGTGGATACAGCAATCAATTAATACGGGCAGTAACTACTTACAAAATGAAAACTTACGATACAGGTTCTTACGATACTTTTTTTTTTTAATAAAATTTTACTTAACTGGTTTAAAAAAATCGATTGCTATAAAACACCGTAATAAAACTTAATTATTTCTTAATAATTTTAACATAATTAAATTATTTTGTTAAAATGTATAATATTTCTAATGTTCGATTTTTTATTTATTAAACTAAGTACCTGTTATTAAAGTAGGTACAGGATAATTTTTTAAAAAAAGTAACTTTTATTTTTAAATTGAATTAAAGTTATTTGTTTCCTGGAAAATTGTAATTTACAAGTTACTTATCTACTTGTGAACTGACTAACATTACGCACGTACATACTGCGTGATCAAAGATGAAACAGCTACTGAAGCGACGGGATACTGGTCGGCAAATCATCGAACTAACCTTGAGGGGGAGTCTGAAGTACGGTACACTGCAATGATTCCCTCTCATTTCCTCTTTTACGGACTTATTTGAAAAATATATAGAAACAGTTTTGTACTTCATTCATCTAATAAACCGTAAAATAAATCATTTCAACCAATAATATTGCATTACAAACCCATAATGTTAATATTATTAAGCTGTTCATAAAAAATAAAAATGATAATTTAAAAAAAAAAAAAAAATAATTTTTTTTATCATCTATATACCTATACAGACCATCTGTCTTTGATGATAATGTAAAGCGTGCATATTACATTGGAAACTCATCTGCATAAAGGTGAATTTTTCAATTCCATGTACTCAGAATTTTCGTATATGTAATTAATTTTGTTTTTCTCAGTCGTTTAATATTCTTATACACAATATTTCAAACATTTTTCTCTAACTATGTAGAAAATGAGGTTACCATCTAAAATTGATATGTAATTTATAATCCTTTCCTGCTCATCCACACATCCAGTGTAAGTTTTTAACTTTATCCGATACATTATTTAATCAAATCTGTGTTAAAATTATATTGTTGTTTGGAAATTAAATATTTATCAATGTATGGTGCACGGGTTAAATGTGAAAATTCGGATCTTTTTTAAACAACATCATTAAATTCAAAATTTTCGTTAATAATCAGTGAATCTCACAAAAACATCATTCTGTATGCAATTTTATTGTATCGTTTTTGGTACAAAACGAATAATATCGTAACCGTATCGTCATCTTCATATTCAAATTTAAAAAAATGAATTATTGTTAACTTTTTAAGACTATTAATAATATACTGTATAAAATATATATTGTTGGACCATTTTAGACAATATTAATACACGAAATTTATACATACACAATTTATTTATACATATATGTATATGCATAGTGTTTTGTGTTTACATAATATCATTACAATTAAATAAGGGTCGGAAATCGCTCGTCAAACGATTATTTTTGCCGACCCTAGCTGAAATGTTCGCGAACACACGCCCCGGTTTGAGTTGCTACGCGACGCGAACAAGGCGGTACCGGTCACGGCAAATGAGAAATGATAGGCAGCTGAAATTCACGATGTTTACCAACTCGGCCGCGAGACGCATATCAAAATCCAAAGAATACGAATAATTTGTTTTCGTAGTAACATTTCGTACGATTAAAAATACTATTCATGCTGTCTGACGTCCGTAATAAAAATCATAATAGGTACCTAATACCTATGCACTATGAGTATAAAATATACAAAAATAATAAGTACTTAAGTAGTAATAGTAGTAATAGTAATATCTATCTACAGATAACTATTATTGAAAGAAAAAAAAAGAAAACTACTAATAAAAGAACCAAACCAATACTTAAAACATAAAATATTCTTTATGATAAAATATAAGGGGGGTGCCAATAATACAATATGTATATATATAAATGTTATTATGATATATTCTATTAATTTTGATTGTTTTAATTAAACGAAAAATATTATCTTTTATTGTGAAACACACCTCACAAGACGAAATAATTAATATACTTCATAGATTTAATCAAAATATCCAAATTTTAACCATTTATTATACTAACGCACATATAGCTGTCCCGTGTTTCTCGCGTTAACCCCTACCCACTCCATCAACTCATCAACCCCTGCTCTTTCACTCTAATCCTATTCTGAGTTCTGATCAATAATAATAATATTATTATTATCTCATGTACACACAAATTGATTGCGTTTCTTACCTTATGTTGTTTTATTACAAACAATTCTCTACAACCATTAACCCACTTTGATAAAAAATAGCTAATTTTCAGTGAAGATAGGAAATTAAACAAACAAAGATTCATCAAAATTAGTCAAGTAGTTCACGATATGTATGCATACACACAAAAAAACGTTTCCTCTTTATATAATACAATATAAGATATGTGATTATAATATTAGAAGATAAACTTGTAAAGTCGGATAATTATTGAGACCTATATTATACTAGACTATTACTGTTAATTTCGCTCTGTAATTTTATCAGTTTGCTCGGTTTTTAATGTTTAAAAAATATCTTAACAACAAAATCTTCTGAAAATAATAATGATTTACTATAAATGAATCTGGAATTTATTTCGAAGGCTGTAAGGTATTGATGGAGCAACATTTTCACGAAGATATTTATATTATATACTTTAATAATCTATTGAAACATGATTACACAATTTACCTAATAGCATTTTCCATCTGAAAACGTCATACGTGTACTCTACACAGATGATACTAGGTTAAAAATATCACACTCCGTGAGTGTAATAAGTATATAGATATTTTAAAATGGAACATAAATTGGCATACTATCGTATTATGTCATTACTTTGATAACAGTTATCAAACTCAAGTACAGATAAAATGCAAAATACTTAAATACGCTTTGCAACAATCACCAGAAATGGAAGTGAGGTGGAAATTATAACCGTCAAAAAGGAGTCGGGTATATCGATTGTCCATGAAACAGATTGCAGGGAAAGGACTCGGGCGTCGGATGGTTTAAGTAGGGGTAAGCAGAGAGGACGTTGACAGGGTAAGAACATGGATGGTGAGAGAATGTCATACATTTTCGAATGATATTGGAAATTGTACTGTTCGAGTACGTTTATTATGGCCGGAAAAAAAATACCACTCTTACAAAATAATAAATTACAAAAATACGTCCTAGGATAATGAGGACTGTTACAGCCGCTGTTATAGGTAATTTAATGTATACCTGTAGGTAACGATAAACCATTGCTTACAAAAATCGATTCTGCGCTCAG